ATCTTGTCGTCTTGATTGAAATACTAAAACTTGGGTTCTGAGTGGGAAAGAAAGATAGAAGCAAAGAAATGGGTTTCTCTGTCGTTTCGTGGTGTATCGTGGTTGGTGTTGGGAGGACGGGTGGTACTGAGGCGTGTTGTTTGGGATGTGAGATTTTTTCTCCCCTTCATTTTCCTTTTTTTTTTCTTCTTCTTCTTTTTCTTCTTTTTTTCCCCCTTTTTTTTCCTCACTTCCCTTCTTCTTCTTTTCCCTTTTTCCACCTCCCCCCCACTTTTTTTTTCTTTTTTGTTTTTCGTTTTCTATAGTTATAATGGTATAGGGGATTTTCAATTTTCATTAAAAAAATCCGAGTGTCTTACTCTTTTCATATTCTAGCAGTAACTCTAATGATAGTAGTGTATAGAGAGTGTACTGGCCTCCGTTTCCTCTTTCTCTTTCATTCTTTCAGCCAGCGGGCAATGATGAACGCTGACTTACCCCTCACCAATGAAAGAAAGCTTGAGCCTTGGATGGAATCGCATTCAAGGACTCTGGAACTCCACTGTCTCAGATTGGTCATAGGTAGAGAGCGTAGCACTCACAACTAGCTGCTAAAAAAACCCCGGGATTTGAATAAAGGAAAGAGAAGCTGCCCGGGCTGGAGAATTGTTGTTTCACCACCACCACCACCACCACCACCACCACCACCACCACCATTCGTTCCCCAATGTTGCATGTGCCTTATCGCGGTTGTACATACCATACACTGCGACGCCCTGTCCTGATGTTGTGAGTCTTGACAAGCAATACAAGCAAGTCGATGCGGAGGAGCGAATGTTAGAAGAAACACTTCAAGATCTTATATCTAGGTCTCAAAGCCCCGGGCACGGGATTAGGAAGGTGCAGGATAAAGAGTAGGAAATCATCGCGGCCACGCATTTTCCTCTTTGTTGATTTTGTCGTGTATCATACCAGATAGCAGCGTAAGAGAGATAGGAAGTGATGGCGCTAGTCTAACGGTGCACAGCAGCAATCTCCGGCACAAACCCTTTGTCCCGGTAGTGGGCATGATTGATCAAGTCAGACGCACATGGCGTTCGGCGCGCATGCCAGATGCGGTGTCACCTATCCACGGGATGGGAGGAAATTCTATCAGGGCCCAGCCAATAGTTGATCGAAGCACGTGACAGGGAGCATATACCTATGTACGGTACTTTTCAGGAAGACTCACTAGTTGTAGTTGACGATTGAGCTGTACGAAAAGTCTCGCTAGAAGGGCGTATGCGCTGCTGAAGGTGAGTTCTGGTTGATGTCAGAAACAGTTGATTTGCAATTTTAAAGGGGAGGAAGAAAGGAACTTCGCACAAGTGGACGAAAGATGGATATAAACAAACACCACTGGCATTTGACGTGTTTCAACATCGGCTCCCGGCCCTCTCGGCCTAGAAGGTTGAGACGAAATCATGACGCTCGGTAAGATCTACTTACGAGATCGACAACAGCGGTCCGCATATTTTGAGACACGGCTCAAAAATGAAATGAGCATTTTTTTTTAACAAGCACAAGCCAAAGCAAGCTAAGGCAAGCCTATTGCTTTTTGGTTGCGCAGTGGATGAACTTTTTTGTTTTGATAAACATGCAACCAAGCACGCAGAAAAAATGGTTGGTAATTTCGGCCTGCATGTATGAGGCGTTTCTTTTGTGGACTGGGTGAGACGGGGCGTGTTGAAGGCTGCATGCAAGATCGGCGGCGGCCATCGACCAAGCAAGGGGGTTTGTGTACATGTCGTTCTGATATTCCTCTCTACAATAACATTAACAACAAGGTTGAGAGATGCTTCAAAACAACACGATGATAAAACACGCCGCGACGCACATTCCGCACTTGACCTGCCAAATTGGCGAGAGCCGAGAGGTAGAGTAAATAGAGATGGAGAAGGTAAGTATATTGAATGAAGTTTAGTCAAGCTTCTCTCTAGAACCCTGTTTACCCCGGATTTGCCACAGGGCCCGGGCCCCGACGCTCAATCCACCACCAGCACCAGCACCAGCACCAGCACACATCATCCGAACTTATAGAGTTTTTGCAAAGGCTCTTCAATTTCAATCAATTGGCCATGCGGATAGGATGGGCTTTGTATTCGGACTTTTCCCAACCTCGCCCTTGATTTTCGGAGCTATAAGAGATGGTAGGGCGTCAAAGCAGCCGCCAAAATCCACTTTTGCCCATGGATGTAGGAATAGAGGCTTCTTTAGCTTCTCTAGTCGTGGGACGGCTGTTGGTGGCAGGGGATCTGCTCTGCATGCGCTGTGCTGACTGACGTGCATCACGGACTTTTTTTTTTTTTCTTTCTTTCCAGTCCCAACAATTGCTTGCAAGGTCGCTCGTAACGATCGCTTCGGCAACAGAGACCCAGGAAGGAAGGTTTGAAGATCATCATTGCGAGGAATTGACAGAGTGGCGGTGGTAGATTCTATCTCGGCAATCAAACAACTCGGTTGACCAGGAAGGATGAGAGTGGGAGGGGGAGTGAGAGAAGTGAAGTGTTGATGGTAGTGGCTTCCGCCATGACTTCTATACTACCATACTTCTATGCTATGCTACGATACATACCATATACCTGCACTAGTCCACGTCACGCCTTCCGATTGGGGAATTAGAACTTTGTTTATTTACAAGTCATTTCCCCTACAACGCCGCTAAGTATGAGCTAGAGGGCCAGAGGGGGCCGGATGAGGCTAGAGGAGGGTACAGGAGGCTAGAGGAGGCTGGAGGAGGCTAGAGGAGGCCAGAGGCCAGAGGCCAGAACCACCCGAGTGACAGACAGACCTGATGCGTGCTCAGCCCGCCCGCCCGCCAGCCCGCCAGCCCGCCAGCCCGCCAGCCTAGTGCCGCTTTCTCTGTAGTCGGATCCACCGCTCTCGCGCTAGCTCTTTAGCTCTTGGGGCTCTCTCTGCAGCTGTTTATAAAGTCTCCTCCCTTCCCAAACCCCCCCTTCTATCTCTTCCCTTCCACCACAAGCATCTTTGGAATATTTCATCTTCCGTGCCTCTCATCTTCATAATTCCCCCACGCGTTGTCAATTGCCATTCGCTTTCAATTACAACTGTATCCATTCCATTCCATTCTTCTTCTTCTTCTAATCCATTCGCTCAACATGCAGACCGTTCTCGCTCTCACTGCCTTGGCCGCTGTTGCCTTCGCCGGCGTCGCTCCTCACGTAGCCAGAACCGTTCCCGCCGGATGCTCCACCAACTATGATGGAAAGTTCCAGGTCACCATCCTGAACGGCTCCTCTGTCGTGACCAAGGTACGTACATGGTCGTTGACGGCGGGATAGTGATTCACTTCTCTAACACGGCTTTCCTCAGCGCGAGCTTGCCAAGCGCGCATCTTCGGACACATGCGGTCAACCTGGACTCCTGACCTCCACCCTCAAGGATGGCATCTTGACCGATAGCGAGGGCCGCATCGGTAACATCGTTTCCAACCGTCAATTCCAGTACGACCCGGCCCCAGGACAGACCGGAGCCGTCTACACTGACGGATTCTCAATCTGCTCCAACGGATCCTTGGCCAGCAAGGCTGGGTCCACCGTCTTCTACTCCTGCAAGTCTGGCGACTTCGCCAACTTGTACGATCAGAGCATCGCTCCTTACTGCCTGCCCGTCTTCATTGATGTCATGCCCTGCGGAACCTCCTCTCCAGGTGCCACCGTCTCTCAGCAAAAGGATGGACAGCCAACCGCAACTGGCTCCGTCGCCCCTGTAACCCAGATCACCGATGGCCAGGCTCAAGTCCCAACCTCTGTGCCGCCTGTCACTCAGGTATGTCGTACAAACGTTCTACCCGAAACCCCGTACAGGAACACAATCAATCTGACCTGTCAACAGATCAACGATGGACAGGTGCAAGCACCCACCAAGGCTCCTCCTGCCCCACCAGCCGTCACACAAATAACCGACGGCCAGCTCCAAGTACCCACAGCCGGCATTCCAGTCACCCAGGTATGTTCTGCCTCGCCCAGCCGTGGAATGCAGCGATTCTAACAATTTCCACAGATCAGCGACGGACAGGTACAAGTCCCAACCGCCGTCACCTCTCAGCGTTTGCCTGCAGTTTCGCAGGTACGTCTCTTCCCCATATCTTCTGCAGGACGTAGCGCAAGGAAGCAACAACACTAACTCGTGGTAACTGCAGATCCCCGACGGGCAGCTCCAGAGCAACGTCTCCACCAACGCGACTAAGCCCCCCATGCCCATCAGCTCTTCCGGAAACGGTCTTATGGCCGGGTCCTTCATGACCCTCGTGATGGTCGTCGCCGCCATGCTCTTCTTGTAGAATTGAGGACGAGCGCTTATCCGATCGACTGTACATACATGGATGGATCTCTTCTTTGATAATCGTGCTCTGCGCAGAGCAGGCTGCTGGGTGCACAAGGTCTCGGTGGCATTCTATGTTCGTGTGGGAAAGCTCGCGTCAGCTTGGGTCGCATCTTCTGGCGTCCCTGCGCAGGTATTCACCTGCCCTTTCAGCATAGCATGGTTTTTAATTCGCATAGATAATTTTCGGGAGGATTAATAAGGGGAGTTTCGAGGTTATTAATTCAGAATCATTTCTCGTCTCGATGCCTTGGGTTTTTGTGATGGAAGCCGTTTTCTTTTTCCCTCCCAGCAGCAGCCTTATTTGTTGAAGCTCACTACATTCCTCGGCCCCCAACCTCACCCCTTTTGCCCACAATCCAAACGGTCCAAAGAGATTTGGAAGAGAAATTGCCAAAGTTCCTTGCGGGCAGTTAAAGGGGGGGTTGAGGAAGGGTGGCCCAGGCAAATATTCTCTTTTTTCTTGAAGCCGCGACCCACAACGTCGAGTCACGGGACTCGGGTCACGAGACTCGTGTAAGTCGTAGTCGTAGAGAACAGTATAATAGAATAGGTACCGGTAGTAATACTGGAAACTGCAACGTGCATCGCAAGTCTGCTTTTGCACGATAGATGGGAGCCCCGGCCGAGGCTGGCTGATTTTTGACTTGATTTTTCATTCATTTTCATCTTCTCTCCCCCTCTCTCCCAATCTCCCAACGAGTATCATTTACAGCCAGCCCTCCATGGCAGCGCGCGCGAGAAACAAAGAAAGAAAAACAAAAATCGATGGATGGATGGATGGATGGATAGGTGATGGATGATGGGCGCTGTGAGAAAGACAGATACATAAACCTGAAAAAGAGGGGGAAAAAAAAAAAAAAAAAGAGGATGCCTGCCTTTCCGACGGTATATATAGCCTTACTTTACACCTTACGCTTTACTTGACTTGACTTTACTTTACATGCATTTCATTTCATTTCATTCGTACAGCCAGCCGGCCGGCCGGCTCCCTCCTCTCTATT